GATGGCATGACTGACTCGATGGACATGAGTTTGAGTAAGCTCCAGGAGTTGGTGATGGACAGGGAAGCCTGGCATGCTGCATTCCACGGGCTTGCAAAGAGTCGGATGTGACTGAGCAACTGAACTGAAGTTCACTGTGATGCTTTATTTTTCTCCAAAATTTAAAATGTTACTATATTACTCATAATGAAGAATAGTTTCTGTTTTTTGAATAGTTAGAAAGGGATCATAGACATTAGCTCAAAATAGAAAGTAAAGATATTTGAGTGAAAAATTAAATTAGAAAAATAAAAATTGCATAAACTAGGTATAGGCGACCAATGTAAAATGATTGTATAATAAGTCACTCCTAATGGAATATTTTTGTTTCATAATATGTCTTCTCAGTTCATGTTAGGCTCAGAAATCTTAACGTGCTATCCAAATTGGGAAAGATAGTATAAATGTTATTAGCTGAATAAAAACCCGTATGAATGAAGAGTAGAGCATCTGGTACAGTCTTAAGTAATTTAAATGGTTCAGAAGTAGAGTCAGTCTAAGAAGATCATTTTCAAAACCACTTAAGACACATTTTCCCCTTAAAATATGTATTTTGGTCTTGACATGATTCTTACATCCCAAATAAAATTAAGAGTTGGCTTATGTGGTTTTTGACCAGGGCTCTGTTTCCATTCCTCTACTAGTATCTCAGTTTTACCCCACTGGCCTGGGATTTAATTTTACCCTCCTTGCAAGTTACTAACTTACCCTGTTACTGCTTCATGGATGCTGAAAGCAGACGTGAGACTCTTGGGTGGAGACAAAGAGTTTGACTATGAGGGCGCAGCAAGCAGCGCGGACATCAGCCTGTTGACACCAGTTAATCTTGCCTCAAACTCCACAGGGTTGATGTGGTAGGACCCAGATGGATGTTACACACACAGTAAGTTTGCACAGCGGCTAAGGAACACCAAAGTTAATGAGTCCATTGCTATTATTTTGTTTTTGGCTAACAATCAGCTAGCTAACTTGCTCTTTGTGCAAGGCTGAGAAATTACCACATTTCTCAAGGCTGCATGCTGCAAACACAACCCTGAGCAATAGCTCAGGAAAAGAAGCATTAGGATCTCGAGTTCCAACACACCTAGAAAAATATAAAGGAGCCTAGTGACTCAGGGAGGACCCTCCCACCACCACCTGGTGGATTTTCATCCTCATACTGGATTCCACTACTGCTATCAATATCCACGAAGGGTGGATATCTCTCCTGACAGCTACCTGGAAAAGCCTTGAGCTTCCCTTTGGTTGGACCATATACAAATTAATCACTGGGGCCAGGGGACTGTCCTTGACTTAGCCCTAGATTTGCACCCATTCCTGAACTAATCTCTATGTTAAGGGGGACGATTACTCTTATTAACTAGATCATCTATGCTGGCTGGGGTGGGAGGATCAATTTTACCCAAGTTAACAGCTATCAATGGGGAAGAGGCAAGATGTTAGGAGGCAGCCATTACCTATTTTACATGTTCTCTAAATGGTATAATTCAAGAATTCTGCTCTATTTCAGGTTTTTGAAAGTCAAATGAAGAGGAGAGAAAGAAAAAAAAAATTAGAACTCATTGGCCTTCTTTTCTATGCTTTTATTCTGGGATATCTTATCTATTTTTTCATTGTACTCATAATAATTGAGCACCAATTATGTGTCAGGAACTGTATTAGACTTGGGGATACAATTCAGAAATGACTCCTAATCTCACAGGTTAATAATCCAGTAAAGGATTCATTTTAAGAGACCGTTAGGATGAGATGGAAAAATACAGTGATAGTGGCACATAGAGGGGGCCGCTCACCTGGACACTGAGCGGGAGGGTTAGGAAAAGACTCCTGGAGAATATGATATCTAATGTGAAGCTGGAGGATGAACAGAAATTATCAGGTGATCTGTGTGTGGGTGAGGACTAGATCGCTTGGAAGAATGCCTTAGGAGATGGAAAAACAGAGCTAGCTAGAGAAACTGAATGTCATCCTGTGTGTCTGAATCATAAAACTCAAGGTGAGAGGAGAGGTAGGACAAGTGAGGAGTGGGAGGCAGGAAGTGTTATCTATGGAAAGGAAACTTGGCTTTTCTAAGAAACCTTGAAGACTTTAAACAGAGGGAAAACAAGGTAGATGTTGCATTTCAGAAATTTCACACTGGCTATATAGAGTGAAAAATGAATTGAGGAGGAAGCAAGGCCACGACAGAGAGACTAGTTAGAAGATTGTGGAAATCCAGCACAGAGACAGAAGTAATTATATCAGTGGAAATGGGATGAAGGCACAGATTTGCAATCTATTTATTAGTAGAAGTTAGATCTGTAGGTCTTAATGAGTAATTGGATGCATGAGATGAGAATAAGAAAATACTTAAGGCCTGGAGATAGGATAGCAATGATAAGAACAGATATTTTTAATTCAAGTAGGCAAAGGTTTAAATCCTAACTCTACATGTAGCTTCTAGGGCTGAGCTAATTACCAGCAAAAAGGAGACATTGATAACTGCCTAGCAAGGCTGCTTTGAGGATAAACATGCAAAGAAATAAAATACTATATGTCAAGTTTCTGACACAGAATAAATCTTTTAATAAATTATAGCAACACGTCAATTCTTATTTCTCTGTCTGAAAGAACTGGTTGGATGGAAACACTATTCATTCAATGCAGTCAGGAGTGTGCTGGCTGCAAGTAACAATAAACTGGACCCACAGCAGTTTTTAAAAGTATGGGTTTTCCTGCACAATAAGAGAACTGGAGGTGGATAGTTATTGGCAGTAACTTGGTCAGCAGTGCAATCTTTATTGTTACCCTTGGCTTTACCTCATGGTCACAATACAGCTGCCCCAGTTCCAGCCTCCAGCATATTTACTTTTTAAGTCAGGGTTGAAAGGGCCATGCATAAGAGAAAGGTTATGGGTTAGTTAATTATCCTGAGATGGGGGACATAGGAGAAGACAGAAATTTGAGAATAAATAACAAACTTGATTTTGAATATATTGAGTTTTAGTTTTCTGTGATATATTCTGAGATATATTCTGTGAACATATCTCCAGAAAAAAGTTTAATAGGCAGCTGGATACACAGACCTGGAGTTAAGGAAAGCTATCTGGGATTGAGGGGGGAGGTTAAATTCTGCAGGGTGAATGAGAGAACCCACAGGAATGGGATACAGTGAGGAAACACAAGGACCAGGACACGGCCCTGGCACAGAGCACCAGCATTTAATGGGTGAGTAGGAGCCAAGAAGTGCCCAAAGTGAGACAGCAGTGTTTAGGGAGGCAAGAGCAGAGCCAAGAGCATGCTGTGTCCTGGAAGCCTAAAAGAGAAAACAGTTTAGGAGGACATGGTCAGTAAAAGCAAGGGCTACATAAAAGCAAGAAGGTAATAAGTAACCTTGTTGAGAGTTTTTCCTTTTGTGGGGACAGAAGCTAGGCTGGAGTGGGTGAGGAGTGGAAGAGACAGGAGGAAACAGAAAGAACAAATGTAAAAAAAGTTCTTTTCTTTCTCTTTTGTTCTCAGAGTTCCTATTTTAGGATGTCAGTACTTGCACAATTCTTTTTTTTTTTTTAAAGAAAGATTTTTGGTCAAGTCAATTTACCTTTCCAAAGAGAAGCAAACTTGGAATGAGAGTCTGGTCCTCATGACCTTCGGAGGGTCTCTTCCGGCGCCAATGGTTTCTGATTACATGGTCTTTCTTACTCCAGTGATGAGACACAAATAAAATCATTTGGCACGTTTAGGTTCTGGGAGCCGAGCTGTGTAAATGTTCATTGTATGACGCTGCCGACTAATGAAAAAGGCAGAGATTGGAAGTCACTGGTCTGGTGGCACATGTAACGCTAACTTTCCCAGGCTCTCCTTTATTTAGTGTGTTTTTATATGGAATGTCATGGAAAATAAAAGTATTATGGGAAAATAAAAACGTTCCATTTGGACAGCTTTTGATAGGTCATATTCAGACTCAAAACATTAAACTATTTTGTGCCACATATAAAATCAACTTTATATTGGACCACCCAGACTCAGAACTCTTGATGAAAGACTATATAAAAATAAGAAACTTGTATGCAGTGACATTGTATGCAGTTGGCTGACTATTCAGGTTTAAGAAGTTTCCTTCCTGTTGAGGAAGGAAGAAAATGAAACAATATTTAAATTTAAAGCAAATCATGCACTAGAGGTAGTTATAAGAATGTAGCTTCTGGGGCGAATCCTCTCTCCCTCTCTCCTTCACCTTCTGAACTATGTAAGCAACCAGTTCGGAAAAGTACATTTCGGAGTACCAGGCTTTTGTTTTCGTTTTTTTAAAATAAATATTTTTGCTTTCTTTTATTTCCTACAGATTAGTTCTGCAGGCTGCAACCAACAAAGCTAAGAAGAGCAATAATTTTTTAAAACTCCCTTTTGTCTGTTTCCATCATTACTGTGGCAATTCTCAAAACATTTGTTTGAGAGAATCTAATCATCTAGTAGTTCAGCCCTTAGAGCTCATATTTTAGGATGTCACTTGTGGCCTGGAGATTAAAACCTTCATGCGTCCTCTACTATTTACGGAATTATTCAATGTTAACTTTTTCTCTCATTCTTTCACTTGAGGGCTGGGGTTTAATCAGTTAGAGCTAGAGAACTTTTGCTCCCGTCCCCCCCCCCCCCCCCCCCCCGCCATCTCACCCCGAAATGGGGACGTTATCTCGTGTGTGAGGCTCTTCCCCTTTCCCCGAAGGTGGGCTGAGCAAAGGAGCGTGACACAAGAGTGGGCTGTGTCCTTGATGCCTCTAGCGCCCCTGCCGCCCGGGGACTGATCCCATTAGCGGCGCAAATTCCAGGCGGCGGCCGGGCAGCGGCGGCGGCGGCGGCGGAGGCTCTGTGCGCCCCGGGGCTGCCTCCTCGGCGGGAGCCCGAAGCTGAGCGCAGAGACTCAGCCGCACCCAGGCTCCGTCCGTCTTTTCAAGCTCTCCATGCTACCCGCCTAAAAGAAGAAAATGGGCACTGGGGATTTTATCTGCATTTCCATGACCGGAGGGGCGCCCTGGGGGTTCCGATTGCAAGGTGGCAAGGAGCAGCAGCAGCCCTTACAAGTAGCCAAGGTAGGATCACCAAAGATGGGTTATCACATCCTGTTCTGGGCTGGGAAAGAAGGAATAAAAGCAACTTGTTGATGGTTTATTCAAGCTCTGATTCAGAGGTCTCTATGCTAGTTTGATTTCGATGCTGACACTGAATTCTTCTTGGATGTGGGTGTTTTTTTTTTTTTTTTTCCTTCAGAAAAACTTTGGAGAGTAACATATAGCACATATGTAATTAATCAGTCATTAATGGGGCTATATATTTTATCAGATGAAGAAAAGCCTAGTTAATCAGTTGCTTCTCTGGCAACCAGCAAGACACTTGGGAACGTTTCTTCTAGGCAGTCTTAGAATCTACAGTTGTTATTGTTTCACGTCCCTTTCCTTGGCTCTGGCTGAGGAGAAACGCTCAGCTCAGTATAACCAATTGGCTTGGCTCTTTTGGGGACTCTTATAAAGTATTGTTAACGACATTTATCATACAGCATCCATGAGAAGACCAGCTTGGGGCAATAATTTTTTTTAATATGAAGATCTCATAAATTTGTTTGAAAGAATATTCTTTTAAGGATTTGGCTAATAAATGCAAAAACCTAAGTACCCTGGTCCATCATGTGCATTCATCTTGTCAAGTGCTCAAAATAAAATTCAGAGACACTGGAAATATATTGTAAATAACTTAGACGTTAACTTTGAAATGCATCTAATAATGATTTAAAATATTTTAGGTGTTTTTATTTCCATTAGATCGCTTTGTTTCTTAGCTCAGTATGCTTACCGGTTTGCTTGAGGGGATCTGGTATTGTCTAATTGTGATTCAGTTAAGACCAATTTTAAAATACCTGAGAAAAAGCAGACTTTTACCTAATTTTAATACTAAATTGAAGTACTATAGGAAAGAATATGTTTGATTAAATTTATATTTTATACTTACATTAAAAATGGATCTAGATCCTCATGAAATATATGGACCATAGGCCTTTGTAGTTATTCTTCTTTCCCTTTGGCTTTCTTTCTTTCTTTTTTTTTTTTTAATTTATGTTCACTGTGAAGAAAGGAGTTTCTTTGAAATTTTTTGCACCCAGGTTTTCTTGGAAAATCCTTTCAAAATGTGATGGTGGAATCCTGCCACCTAGTGAAAATTTCAAACATCAAGGATGAAGCATAAAACGGCAGATGAAAAGCAGACATTTTTAGAACTGAAAAGTTTCTCAGAAATCCCCAGTTCAACCTGCTAATTTTAGATAAGGAAAGAACCTTCAGAGGCTAAGTAACCTGCCTTGGGTCTTTGGTCTTAGGTTTGGAACTGGCAGTGATTAAAAGGTACAAAGGTTGTTGGTTTCCTTGTTTTTCTTTAGGAGTCAATGGTAGGCAACATCAGACAAAATATTAATGCCTAATTCAGCATATGTAGAATTCATAAGCCCGAAGTGGATTTGTCCGGAGTCTAGAATAGCAGTTGGCCGGCTCCTGTCACTGAGATTTGGGTTCTAATTCCAGCTCTGATCTAACATGCAGCCGGTCCTGAGACAGATCACTCTTCCTGACTCATTTGGTGTGTGTGTGTGTGTGTGTGTGTATGTGTGTGTAGAAGAAGAAAGAGACAAAGATTTTGAGTGGGTGGGAAAGAAGAGAAGTAAGTTGGAAACTGGACTCTACCATTAGTGAGGTTCTATTTGCTTGAGTTTTCTATAGCCCTATTAGTGTACAATTTTAGAATCACTTGCCTACCAGTTAAAATGTGGAGACAGAAGTGGCTAGAAGCTGTGATTCTTGGTTGCTCTTTCATAGCCAAACCTACAAAATAGAATGGATTTTCCTCAGTTCTTGATGTGTTTATTTCAAAGTGGCACCACTGAGTGGTGATTTTTTGAAGAACTGAAGCAAATCGCTCATGAAGGGTGCTTTGGAGGTGTTTCTCTGCTGATAGCTCTCTCTTATCAGGATTCAGAGAGGCTGTCAGTTTGAATAAGGGTCAAAAAATTCATTCCTGCTCTCCCCAAAATCATCTTTCCTCAAATATCTAGGAAATATATTTTTAGTTTTAAAAAGATCATTATATGAAAGCATCAGGATGTTTGCTTTAATTTTTTTAGTTTGTGTTACTGTAAAGTTACTGATTTAAAATATTATGAAAGCACCTGGATGTTTGCCTTAACTGTTGTGTGTGTGTGTAAAAGAGAGAGATAATTTATAATTTTTTCCCACATGTAAAAAGTGACTAGAGAGCCTTCTAAAGATATAATTTTTAAATTACTATAGCAATGCCCACTTTTCTTAGTCTGGTTTTATACTTAATTAAAACTTATTATATTTAATTTATTACTAGCATTATTTGTCCTAGAAAAGCCTCGGAACAAAGTGCTTGTCTCTATGTTATCAAGGCCATGGCCTCAGTGGGATCAGTTTTTCATTCAAAACATGAAGTCAACTTGATTCCAGTAAAGGTTTCTCTCTCATTGAGATCAAGGTAATGTGTATGTTGCTTGATTTTCTCCTTTTCCAAGGAATGGTGAAAACTTATTAGAATCAAGTTACCTCCAAGTAGGAGGATGTGGAGGAAGGAGATAGAAAGGCTAAGGAAGGGATGATTGCTGGCAACCAAAATACTCAGTTTTGAAGAACATGCAAAGGAATAATTTGGGAATTGAAGAGAATATTTCAAAGAAAAGAAAATTTCAGACAGTGCTTAAATCATGCCTTCTAAAATGGGTATGCCACGAAGAAGCTCTATAGATAACAACAAATTTTTGGTTCATTGTAAATACCTAGTATTTAGAATTTCAATAATTCTATATAAAATGAAAATTTAGCAAGCTGAAATAGCAAAAGAAAAATGAATCTAATATTATTAAGAATGATCAGAAATTTAATAGCTTTATAATTCCCAGTAAATATCCTCCTAGTGACATGTTTAGTCATTTTTGAAAGATATTCAAATGTTTTTAGTATTTGGCTGGCTGGCTGAACTGTAGGTGAACCCCAACTTTCAAAGATCACTATGGAAATATTAATGATAAAATTTTTCATTGATATTGAAACTCAAGGCCATAAAACTCTGTTTTGTTTTCAACATAAATTAAATTTCTAAAAGGCTCAAAGAATCAGTAACATTGTCCAGGTTTTTAAATGTGTATATATCTTTTAATTTATGTTCTAAATACATGTGATAGGAAGCAAACATTTCTAATACACTGTAGTAAGACAGTACTCTTGCAAGGTATATTTCTAAGAGATCATCTACAGAAACAAATTTATACAGCCATACTTGTGGTATAACACCCCACTGTGTGTGTGCAGATGTCCTTATAAAAGTCTGTTAGCACTTTTACTTTACAAAACTCTATTTTTTGGAACATGTACTTACATGGCATGTCGCTGGACATACTCTTGGAAAATCACTTCAGAATATTGCCACATAAAGAAACAGGGAGAAGTTTTTGTTTTGCAAACAAATCTTATGAACCATTTAGAAGTAACTTACATTTTGAAAATAAAGAACAAAAAATGTTTAGACTTTATTCTTCATGAGTTTTAATGTTTAGAAATGGAAGCTTTCTTCAAAAGTACAGAACACTATGGTACTTATTAAAATGAATTTTAACTCAGAGTTTCAAATAACTATTAAAATTTAGATGACAAATTACAATCATCCATTTTATGAGGTTGAGTTGGAGTTAATGATTCTCATCTATTATTATATAATCTCTTTTTAAATGTCTGAATATAAAGTATTTAGGCAAAGCACATTCAAATACATAATTCATATCCCTTAATGCCATCAGTGAGATATCAAAATGCTTCAAATAGAATAAATTCAAGAAACACACTGATTTCTAAAGGGAAAAATAGGAAGTATTTGATGTTTTAATATGTACCTTTTGGGATAAATCCTCCTTACTACATATGGAAAGCTAAGGATATCTTTATTAGTAAATATGACTGATCACTGAATTTTTACTGATGTTTTGAGCTTTCAAGAAATTTTAAAAACGTCTATACTTATAGAAATCCATGCACTCTAGCTACATCTATTAAGCAGATGTTACATAAAATTTTTATTTTGGAATTGCATGTTTTAAGACAGATGACTGTTGAAAGACAATGAGATAAAATAATGACCGTGACTGTGCGTGAACTTTGCCATTAATGGCAGATAACTCTGCCATTATCTAGACAGAGTCCACATGGAGCTCACATTTATCCTGTACCAGGAACTGTTCCAGGTGCATCCTTGATAGGATGTCTTCTTTGTCATTGCAGTTGGTGGCCTGCCTAGTGCCTGTATGAACAGTGGGATGGGGGTAGGGAGAGGCAGGTAGGGAAGTAAAACTGGAGAAAGATGTAGCGGGGGGTGGGGGAGGGAAAAGGAGAGAGAAGAAGAGACAGAGATAGAGTGAGAATGAATGGACAAGTAGGAAGTTTCCTTCCTCTGGATGAACTCTTCCATTTCCTCTGGATGAATGACTGTCACAGAAAGGTGTTGGTGGGACTTGAGCCATCTAGCTTGGCCTGCCTAGAAAGGCTAAACTCTTAGCCAGGGCCTGCAGGAGCAGGCTGGCATCCTGAGGAGTTACTTGGGCCTTGGAAGGGACAGAGAAGTGTTGGGCAGGAGCCCTGTTTCTTCTGTTAGGGAACTGTGCAGGGTGAAACCCTCCCGGCTCCTAGAAGAAACCAAAGTGTCCCAGCATTTGGACACCAGCTACAGAAAGGACAGTGATGGCCACTCGACATTAACCAAAGAAGTACAAAAACCAACAAAGAGAAATGCTACACCGTTTACTTGTGAATAAACAGATCTACCTTCCCCCTCCTCTTCAGCCTTCCTTCCTGCCTTCAACCTGGGAGGGGTGGGAGGGAAGCTAGTAAAGAGCAGACAACACTCTCTGCCTCTTGCTAAGCCCTGGAGCCACGAGCCAGCTACCGTGCTTAGGGAGAGAGCTTAGAGATAGATGTTAGATCAAAGCTGTATTTGGACTAGACTGTTTTAATAACCAAATGCCACCAAAAAGGCATGGGAT